CCCACCCAGCCCCTGGAAACCATCATTTCACTTTCTGCCTCTACAAAGTTGACTACTCTGAGCCTCATGTAAGTGGAATCACATACTATTTATCCTTAGGCGTCTGGCTTGTTTCACTGAGCATGGCGTCTTCTAGGTCCGTCCATGCTGTAGTGAGGTGAATTCTTCTGAAATGTGAACAATCCTTTCCTAGTTTATCTTTCTGACTCTGACTTCCATCCGGCAGGGCACACGTCTAGAAAGACTCGATAACAAAAACTCCAAACGTTAAAGACATGAGTGTTGACTTCCTCGCTTCCTGTTCAGAGTCCAGGCTGAACTGAACCCAGGGTGGGGACAGGGGGTGGTTCTGAACCAGCACGGGCCAGGGGAACAGTCCACCACCAGGAGGGAAGTGCAAAGTAGTTACCTTTCTCCAGAGGTGACCAGTGTGTCAGCAAAATACAACTTTACCAGCGAGGCCCAGATGCCTCCTTGGCGGAGTCACCCTCGATACACAGCTGATGCTCTGATACAGAGAATGCACACAGATTGGGAGGAACCTGACGCTCGTGGGGTTGTCTCTCGTGCCTTCAGCAAAGCTTTGAAGTCCTCTGACCTCCACTTGCTTCACTTACAGAACCAGGGGTAGGATTAGCTCATCCCTTAAGGCTCTTTCAGGTTGAAATCATTTCGGAGATTGGGTTATTTTTGTTTTATTATGTTCAAAATCATTATTCCCCATGTTTTTAGCTTTTCCAAAATTTCTTAAAAAATACTTTTTATTGATTTTTAGAGAGAGAGGAAGGGAGAGAAATAGAGAGATAGAAACATCTATGAGAGAGAAACATCATTGATTGGCTGCCTCCTGCATGTCCCCTAGTGGGGATTGAGCCGACAACCAGGGCATGTGCCCTGACTGGTGACCTCTTGATTCCTGGGTCTGTGCTCAACTGCTGAGCTGCACCAGCTGGGCCCAAATTTCTTTTCTTTCACTCTCTTCTTGGATTTTGACTTTCCCTAGTATCTCCTGTTGCTATTTTACTTAATATATTTAGTTCATTTCACTTTTAAAAATTATACTTATTTGAAATAGAAGCCTTATGTAATTCTCTTAAATGGAAATTCAATATCCTTTTGAGTATCATGAAGTTACTAAAGTTACCAACATGGATTTAAAGGTGGGAAGCAAATATTTATTGAGCTTCAACTCTGCACCAATTTCTGTTCTAAGTCCGTGGTCGGCAAACCGCGGCTCGCGAGCCACATGCGGCTCTTTGGTCCCTTGAGTGTGGCTCTTCCACAAAATACCACGTGCAGGCGCGCACGTACATTGTGATTGAAACTTCGTGGCCCATGTGCAGAAGTCGGTATTTTGTGGAAGAGCCACACTCAAGGGGCCAAAGAGCCGCATGTGGCTCGCGAGCCACAGTTTGCCGAGCCGCAGTTTGCCGACCACTGTTCTAAGTATTTTACATACATTATGGTATTTAATTTTCGCCATGACCCTGTGGGGGTAGACACTGTTCCTACCTCCATTTTACAGATGAGAAAACTGAGGCTTTGAGAAGTTTCATAACCAGTGGCCACTTGATGTAGGCTCCACAGGGTATGAGGTCTAGAGCCACAGTCCAAGTTTAAGTGGCTTAAGGTTTGAGAACTATGTGTGTGTGTGTGTGTGTGTGTGTGTGTGTGTGTATTAGTATTGCTTTTCCCTGTTACAGTGCCAAGAACATGGACTAATCTAGATCTCTATTAATCTTCTGTCAGCAGCCCTGACAGCTTTACTGGGAGAGGCTGATAAGCATCCGTCTGTGAGGATGGGAGTGGGTACAACATAAACACACTCTCGGAGGGCTGCAAAGAAAGCAAGGATGCCCAGGCTTGGAGAACTCCACGTGTGAGTGTGTGCACGTGGGGTTTTGCACGCGGAGCTGGCGGGTGCCTCTCACACGTGTGTGTATCTGGAAGCTCATAGGTGCCCCGGGTGCTGCTGACATTGCGGGGTGGGAAGGAATGTCTTGTCCGCAGGATGCGCACTGGCTGGGACAGTTAGTTCTGCCTTAGTGGTCGGAGAGGACGCAGTCTGCGACTTCTCAGTATGTCCCAGGGCTGCAGCCATGTCATTCCTCTTCTGGTTGACAGGGCACACTTCATAGAGCTTCCAACCAACTTCCTGTAAGCAAGCCAGGCAGGGGCCTTGATAAGAAAGTGGAATTCAGGGCAATTAAGTGCAATCTGAACCCCGAGAATGTGTTTTCTAAGGGTGGTTTTTCACCAGCTACTTGCAATGACATTCCATTCATTCAGGGCTGACTTCTATAAAATAGGCTTATTTGGGGGGCTGCATTCAAAACAGAGCCCTAGCGAGTTTGCGGTCAGGCTGGGCATGTGTATCACTCAGGCTGTTTTTAAGCCTCCGGTGGAAATCAGCTTGGGGAGCAGCAAAAGCCTGCGGTGGCTCAGGCTGCAAGGCTGCGTGAAAAGCTGAGCGTGGAGTGAAATTTGCTGTTACCCGGGGCAGGAAGGCTCATGGTTGGAAACTTTACAGATACGGGTTTACATAGGTGCTTACTAGTTAGTTCACCTGAAATAAACAGCCTCATCTCCCTAAACCTCATTTTTCTCATCTGTTAAATGTTTTTTTGTGTTTTTTAATGTGGTAAAATATCCAGAAAACAAAATTCACCATCTTAACTATTTTTAGATGTACAGTTCAGTGCCATGAAGTACATTCGCGTTCTTGTGTAAATGGGGTTTTGGGTAGGATTAGATTAGAGAGCGTAAAGTGCTCAGAACAGTGGCTGATACTTAGAAGTTGTTCAGTAAGTGGAAACTAAGTTTATCATTATTCCTTTGTATTATCTGCTAATTATCTTGTGGTTTTCAAAATATACTGCTTATTCTAGTGAGAAGTGTTTCTTGGGTGCGAGCAGGTGCTAAGCAGTGGGTGATATAAAGATGAGGGGAAGTTATGGAACCTCCCACCTGCCTCAGGGGACTTAAGTCTAACAGGCAAGGTGAATT